TCCTAATCATTTACCGTTTTTATCCCATAGCACCTTTTTGGTCCTCCTCTATTTTCTTTGGAAATCTAATATCTTTCCTCATTAATCCTGTTTCCCTTTGGTGTTTTCCCTGGTTCATCTGCCTTCGCTTATTCTCCTCACCGAACTTCTCCCTTGTCTAGCATATTTTCATCCCACTTACTTGTTTTTACTCCTCATTCTCCACCTTTTTTACCTTTTCTCATTTTCTATTCCCTGCTGGAACCTTTTTTTCTCGATGTTTCTACCTTCCTTTTACCCTCTTCTATCTATTCCCTTGCATTGAGGAGAAGGAACCTCAGCATGGGTCCCATGCCACATCACAGCAAAACCTCAATTGCAACCCTCTGTTCTCTCTACACCTTACCGTTTAGATCACGTAACACAATGAAGAACTTACTGCATAGCTCTACAACTACACCTCAGATTTCTCTTACAAAATTTGGGGATCGCCTGGGAGTTGGGGTGCCCAGTTGTCATGGAAGTCTTGTTTTGAAGGAAGAGAGAACCAAACAAAACTAAATTTGTAGCTTGGAGTTTAGTTGAGCTAAGTCATTGACTTCACCAGCTAATGAATCATCAATTCAGCTAAGTCTCAGATTTATGCTATTAAAAGATGTGTGACAGACACCCTCAGAATAGCTGATGAAAAGCATTAATCTTCTAATAACATCTATTTTCTTCCAGTGCAGTGTACAGCCAGTATCTCTTCACTGGTAAATATAATTTCTTCCAAGACGCCAGAGGTTTGACCGTTTAGCCACTTTAATCGTAATATTAATAAAAATATCCCAGCTGGGCCTTGCAATGCATTCTTTCGCCTCCCAGATTAAATGACAGACATGCTCAGTAGCAATGAATGCATCTCCCTTTATGCTTTCTGAAATAACAAGCAGGCTGCGGATGCCTAACAAATCAGCAACATTAACAACTCTGAGTGTAGTTCTGTGAAGCAGATACTAAAACTCAGTGAATCGTATCTTGGCTGTTCTCTGGTAGAGAGGGCCCTGGAGTTGTTCGAGGTACCTGACATTATTTCATGAGAGTTTGTCTCAGCTTTATTAAAGTCTAGCGTACCCCATTCTAATTTAATGTCAGATCTAGTTTCGACCGCCCTTCAGATTTCATACAAGACAAATCTACTCACCGTTCACGATGCAGTAATGAATACTGTTAGGCTTTCCTCTGTCTCCATCAAGAGCAACAACAGTAAGGACCTCAGAGCCCTGGGGAGAAATGGGAAATCACAGTCTGTGTCCTCAGATCAAAAAGCAGTGAAATTGCAACTGTGTATTAATAAACTGAACTTCCCTAAGTCTTGCTGCAGTGAGGCGTGGGGGGAAGGGTGGGTACTTTTGCCTCTGCTGTATGGGGAGCACAGCAACGGCCAGTGACTCCCAGCCAGAAAAAAATCAGTGCTTGGCTTTGCAGAGCAGGAGCTGGATGCTACTCCTTGGACCAACCCCATGTTGTTCCTACATCAAAAGTTGTTGTTCCCAGGTATGTTGCAGCCCGTGCACTGTACCTCCATGCAAAGTGGGGACACCCCCTCTGCTGCTCGCTCCCTATGTCCCTATGGACACTCCCTCTGCTGCCAGCACCATGCCACTGCCTGCACTGAAGGCAGAGCAACCTGCCTTGGTGCATGGGCTTCAGGGCTTGCTTCAGTCTCGGGGCATGCCATGCACCTGCCAAGAGACCAGTGCCAGTTTGCCCAGCGCCCTGCCCTCTTGTCCTTTTTTCCAACTCAGCTTTGGGTGAGCACCAGAGGACCAGCAGGAGCACTGCGCTGCTCCCCAGGGGCTGCAGTGCCGACAGCACGGATGTGAAACAGCTGCAGACCCTGTGTGGCCACGGGTCCCTCAGCCCAGCAGCTGGCCGGCCGCAGGAGCGATCGGAAGCTGTCCCCAGGAACACCTACCGTGAGCCACAGACTGGGACAGAGGATTTGGAGTAACCAATCTGAGACGCGAGCTTTAGTTTGGGTCACTACCAAGATGCCCTCTGGTAGCTGCTGTGTAGGCTCCCGGTAACGCCGCGTGCCCCATGGCCACACAGCGTGCTGAGACACAGGCAGCTGCTGAGGAGTCATCAGGTCATTTTGGTCCTACCTAATCAAGTTCAGACAGGCAGCAAAAGCAAAAAGGGGATCACAAAACAACTTGGCCAAAAGAACATTTACGGTGTAAAATTTTGCTGAAAATTATGGTGATTTAACTGTCCTTAAACCTTCACTGCCTCTTTTTGCACAAGTAACATGGCTGTGGGCCGTACGTACAGAATTTGTGTACTGGAGACCATTTGCTCATGTGACTACTCCTATCAACTCAGAGGGATGATGACTGTCAGCATTAAAATGCTCATCCAAGTGGCAATAAGCTGTGCAATTTAAGCCTCTGAACTAAAGTGTTACTGTTTGGGGCTGCAAAAACAGCGAACATGGAAGTAACTGTCAGTTAATCACAAATGGCAACAAGGAACATTTTCATGACAACCCTTGAGTGACTTTTTGAAACAAGAGCAAGTTTCTGTTAGAGCAACTAGAAATACAGAACTGTATTTATTATCATTTGTGCTGGAAGCTGCAATAAAATCTGCCTACTGGGCAAAAAGCAGTGCAGTCCCTTTGAAGGTGACAGAGTACTTGTAAATCCTGACAACTCCTCCAAGGAGAAAAGAAGCAAGTTTAAAAAATTAACACCAAACTTATAAACAACACTAAAATCAGCTAGTGCGTCTCTTTCTGTGGAGTTCATTTTAATAGCAAAACCCATACTGGGAAGGACCGATTAGTGCTTCCATCATTATAATATCATAATGGTGTAAGTTATGAGCTCAGGCTGGATGCAATTAACATTTATTGACGCTCATTTCCATGGTAAGCACTAACTCCTGTGTGCACCTGATAGTTATTTCAAGATCTATACGTAACTATGCAGAATAAATCAATACGCATAATATCATTCTTTCCAAACATCTGCAAAGTACACAAGGATTACTTCTCTGCCCTGCTGAAATGTAACAGCCTATGCACATAACTGCAATATACAGTCAGGCAAGGGCTGCAGTGTACATTGGAGTCCTGGACAGAAGTAAAGACACGATCTTTCCTGAAAGTCAAGGGAAGATCAGGTGAACAGTGTGCAATCACACTGCCAAAGAGATCAATAGTCTAATGTTGGGTAATTTCATGAGTAGATACCATTTATTGTCCTATGTATGAAGAAAATTTTAATTACATCTTATGTATCAGGGAGAAAGCTGATCCATACACAGTATCATGCCACTGCTTAGATATAGAGAAAATTCATTAGTTTGCAGCTTCAAGAATAATATGTGGCTGAAAGCATCATGGTGAATATAATAAACTAATTTGCTAAGCTGTATACTCCTTTTTAAGCAAATCTGCCATTAGGCATTTCTGAGATGATGGCACAGCCAGGAGCTCAGTGTACTCCTTGGATTCTGTGTCTGTGATAGATACGAAGTGGTATCTTCAGCAGCAGAAACATGCAGACAAATGCAGTGTCCCCACTTGTAAGTGGTTCTTCTAAGTATGTCCCTGCTTGCTTGATAATCTGATGGGTTTTAGGCCTGGGAGGACTTCCTGGCCCATTCTACCTATCTAGCCATCACTGAGCAGAAAGTATCCTGCATTTTGGGGATGTCAGGATTGCTTCACCCCAGGTGATGTCCATGGGACAGCACCAAGAGTCTAGAGCATTTCAGCATAAATTCTCCTACCTTGCACAACCAGCTGCTGGTACCAGACTGATCAGCCAGAAGACAAAAGCACTTTGAGACCACACAGCACACACACACAAAGGCTTCTGGCATGGTGTGTTCAGGTGAGGTAACTGGCAACCAGCTTAAGCCTTCAGCCAAGTGCCTCTGCAGGTCTCAGCTATGGAAGAGCTCTCAGTCACTGTCTGGGCTTAGACCAACATAAATGGGCAGAATCCTTTTTGACTTTGACAACAGCAACAGGAAGCCTTGCATGACAAATTTGCAATAATAACAATTTTCCAATTTGTAAATAATATCAAGTCTGAGATTTGGTCAGCTCGTTTCACCTAAGAGTCAAATCAGAGTTTAGGTCCTAGTTTTCGATAAAGCCTGTGCTAGAAACCATAGGGCTATCTTAACTGAGATGCGAAAGATCGGGCTTGTTCTCCTACAGGTGAAAACCAGCACTTACGGCGAGTGTATCCTCGTAGACATATCCATAGTAGGGAGTACCGATGAACATGGGAGGAGTGTCCTGAACATCCTCCACATTGACAGTAACTGTTGTTGTGGCTGAAAACACTTTGTTGTCTCCCCTGAGCTTCCCACCACCATCCTAGAAGAGAAGTCATCATCAGATCCCTCTGCTGAAACATGTCTGCAAATCCACTTATGGCATTGCAAGCAGCTCATAAGC